ATCCAGCCCTGCACCTTGTTGTCTCTGGAGTTCCAGGTAACCTGAATAGGACTTATCGGGATTTCACCAAATCCATCAAGTAACTGCATCTCCTTATTTCATGCTTGTACATTAATTGTACTTGACAAAAAAATATTGCTTAGGTAAATATTAGAATATATTGGCCCTTTGGTATCTGGGACAGCATAGCGGTTAGCACTGCTGCTTCACAGCACCAGGGACCCAGGTTCAATTGCACCCTCAGGCAACTGTGTGGAGTTTATTCATTCTCCCCATGTCTTTGTGGGTTTCCTGCCACAGTCCAAAGATGAGCAGGTTAGGGTGGATTGGCTATGCTAAATTGCCCATAGTGTTCAGGGACATGCAGGCTGGTGGATTAGCCATGGGAAATGCAGGAATGCAGAGATTGGGGTCAAGTGCTCTTCAGAGGGCTGGTGCAGACTTGATGGGCTTGAATCCCTATGCAGAAAGAATCCATGACTTGTCTTTATGATTCTTTAATGCTTTTGGAGTTGAGGATAAGTGCTGTTCAGTTATAGAGATCATCAATTATTGCATTTACTACAATACTGCATTAGCAATCAGTCACTTCGAGCTCCATTTTCACTTTCTAAGGTAGCAGACATGAAAAGTTTATTCTCAAAATTTGTCAGCATTCCGGAGACCAGTGAAAAACGAGAGCTTGTGGGATTTGGAAACTGGGGACTGCATCACATTTAAACATTTTGTCTAAAATATTATTTTTGGGAAAACAGCAGGAATGAGGACATTGTAGAACTATTTTTTTTTCCAGAAGAACACCGATGATATTACACTCCCTCAAAAAGGGACAAAGTTATTTTCTTTCCCTCAGTAGATACTTTTTCAAATTATTGACCAGGGAGGAGGCTTGGCAAGAAGAAGTATATTTTTAAAATCATTCCATTTAGCTATGGTTTCCATCAGAAACATTTTATTGATACTGTACAGGCAAGATACAAATAATCACAACTGCACTTATTCCCAAAATGTATTGCTCATTGACAAGGGGCTATTGCAACATGCCCTGAAAACATTTACATTTTTATAGCAGTATTCACAAATCCTGAGACAAACTTGACATCAATGACTCAAACAGCATTTCAGTGGTCAGACCTCTGCTCAGATCCACATTAAACCAGCAGGACACCTGGTGCGACAGGACAAGATTCAAACTGTTTCAAATCATTGTAACTGTAGAAAGCACCATCATTATGTTAAGTATATTTTCAATTTGAGGTAGCAGTGTATTAATATAGTCATGAGGCTGATAGTGGCATGATTCACAACTGCATCCGATGAGGTGAGAGAATTACCTAAATGTAGTGGTCCTTATTTACCACCTGGGAAAATAGCTGTTCTTGGAGAATTTCCATTGGGAGAAATCTTATAGAGCTCAATAAAGGCAGTTTGGAATTCAGTATCAATCAATAGAGGGCATGATATGATGGACTGGGGTGGGGGGAAGCATTACACCTTGGGAGCTCAGTGAGGGGCTAGTGCAAGTCTCAAAGCTCTGGGGCAGAAGGGTTTGCAGGAACTCAGTGCCTGGGGAAGAGGTTGGCTCTTGGCACCAATGTTGAACTTCCTGCTCAGGCGTAAATCGAATTTTGCAGATTGGCCTCTAATCTGCACCCATTGGTCAAACTTGCCTGATATTCAAGGAAAGTCCAATGGTCCATGACACAAGAGAGCTGAGAATCTGTCTCTATGACTTGGATTATCACCATGAACATAAGTACCAAGGTCAGGGGGTGCTGAACATGGAATAAATGTGCAAGAAAGGTTTCATAAATAAAAACAAAGAAAATAAAGAGAGTTTTCTAATGCCTCTGTGTCAATAGTAGACTCTTTGCCTCTTGGTACAGGTTTATAGCTTCATACCCCCACTATACAGCTGACGCTTGAGTCAAGGTCTGTCTTTCTGCTGACTTCGAAAACCAAGGCCCTTCTCCTCGTTCAGTTGGTCGATAAAGATCCCATAAACCCGATCAAAGATAACAAAAGGGATGATCCGATAGCCCGTAGCATCGCAGACTAACTGCTCAGTAACCTCACCGCAGTTTGAAATATTTTGCCAAGTACAGACCTGGCTGCCATGCTGTCTACACAATAACAGCAACTGCACTTCAAAATAAAGTTGTTATGGGACCTCCTGTGGGCATAAAACATACTGTATAATTGCAAGTTCTGTCTATTTTGAGACGAGTTTGGTGATATGCTGTCGATTATATCTGTGCGTGTATAGTAATACAGCACAGTTGTAGTACCTTGGGCTGAACACAAAGGTGTTGAAACCTACAAGGAGCAGGTGGAGAGATCTATAGAATGGCTGGCCTTCTATTCCCAGAGCCAAGGAGTCTGAAGGGAGATCACTAGTTGCCAACACTGCTGTCTGACCACCCATCAAGTGTCGAGGTGGGATTTCCACTCCTCACTCCAGAGGAGCTGCCAGCCAATCGGAATGGCTGTTCAGGAATGGGACTGCTCCATGCTGTGGATTGCAGGGCCAGGTAAGTGAGAGTCTGAGGGTAGTGAGTGGAGTTGAGTCCTGGCGAGGTGGGCAGGGGATGGTAAGGCTAGGGAGAAAGGATGCCCCCAGATAGCAAGGATCGATGTGCAGGAGGGAATGTTGGGAGCACTTAAATGTTTAAAGGAGAGATTGTTGATGGAGGTGGACCCAGCCCCCAAACCTCCTGCACAAAGCCGGCACATGGTCATTTAGCCTCCATCTCTGAACTCCTCCCACAGATCATAACCAATGATGATCAACTTTTCTAACTCCCCCTCCCCCAATCTGGTGTGTCATGGCTCTTCTCAAATACAGATGATGTTGTTGGTATCTAGTACAAAGCATCACATTAAAAAAGCAATTGTTCATGCATATGTTTGATACTAAGACAAGAACACATGACCCTGAATTGAGACAAATGAATAAATACAAAAGCATTGAATACACTGTCAACAGGGCCTTTGGTTCGCATTGATTTACTCAGAATACTTGAGCCACAGGACAATGACAGGGCTCAGCATAGCAAGGCTGGGTCAATGTCAATCTGATGCAGTACACATAGCCATGATAGTGAGTGTAAGCTTCATTTACACATGATACAGAGTTGCAATGGCCTTCCCATTCTCTCTCTCAATGTGCTCATGTTACTATGGTCTTCCTGTTCCATCATGGCTCAGTAATGAGTTCCAACAGTCTCCAGAAGGGATGTGCTGAGCTGATCTGGTTGGACATCAATCTTAAAAAGAAGACTAAGTCTGGTAAACACAAAATACTGTAGGTCCTGATAAAACCATGGGAAATCAGCCAGGATTCACCATCACATGACATATCAGTTTTAGTGATCCTTCAGTTACATTTCCTCCATTTGATGGTTTCTGACATTGCTTTGTATTTCAGCAAGACAGAGATACCTTTATCGGGCTGAATTCAAATGGGTGAGCTGGTGATGGTATTGGCACTGTACTCAAAAGTGAACTGGGGAAAGTATAGACTGAACTTTCCAAACTTTTGTTGTAGGTCAGTTCCTCTGCAGAGCAAGAGACAGTGTCTCTTTTGCAAGGTTGGATGGTCGGGGTGAGAGAGAGGATTTCAGATTCATACTGCAATAACTGGTTCATAAACCCAAAATTGGGAGAAATGGTATTCCTTCGCTCTTTAATGTAGTCAAAGGCTTCTTCTAAACGTAGTTCCTTGGATCTCATCAGATATGCCAAGCAGATTGTGGGCGAGCGAGAAATTCCAGCTTCACAGTGGACCAGCACCTTCCCTCCTGTGTGCCTCACATGATCTGTGAAATAACAAGTCCAGTTTAGCTCCTGGTTAATGCATATGCTAAAGTATCTGGCACATCAGTGCATTACATTTACATATCTTCAGGTAGGCAATTAAATGTAACACTCTAGAATATTGCAAAGTCCACGGGATGCTTTAGCTACGAGAGACAAAAACACCCACTTGGTAAAACTTTGATCAATAGGCAATTTTACTGCACCCCCCCAAAAAAAAATTATCACCTTCATTTGCTAAGATATTAATTCATACTAATCCCATCCCTACTGGGCAGTTTCAAATACTCTATCCATGGTTATTCGATGTGGATGAACCTGGACATCATGACTGAACCAGATCCTGTTCTTGTGCAACTCTGAGATACACCCGCTCAATAAGGAATCACTGGTAAGTGTTCCAGCATGGGAAAAAGCTACATTTATTTCTCTCACTCTAGTCCACAGACACTGAGGCTAACAAAAAGCACCACTGTTGTCAGCATATAGTGCTAAAGTTAGAACGTTCACTGATAACTGCATGGTGTTCAAATTCACTCTCAGCTCCTGAAATGATGCAGCAGTCCACAACCTGGGCATAGTTAGATCACAGAAATCTGCAGGGTTGGCCTGAAATGGTAAGTAATTGTCACTTGACAAAAGTGACAGCAATCAACTCCAACTAAAGAAGTCTCTTGACATTCAACACTATCACTGAGTCCCCCACCATCAACATTCTGCTGTTACTATTCACCAGAAACTGAACTGCACCAGCCACATTAACAATAAGATTACAAGATCAGGTCAGTGGCTGCTGACTCACATCCCAACTCTTCACTGCACCATCGACAAGACACAAGTTAGGAGTGTGATGGAACATTCCCCACTTGCCTGGATTGATGCAGCTCCAACAACACAAGAAGCTTGACACCATCCAGGAGAAAAAAACATTAAAGAAGGTGGGTGAGTTCTCAAAAGCTGGAGGGACTATAGAAGCCTTTGTTTTTCTGGCTTGCCCACAACAAATTTACCTGCAGGTGCCTCTCAGAAACTTTAAAAAATTGCCGTAGTTGCTGTGTCACTCTTGTGGAGTGGGAGCCCCATTCACAAACTGCCTGCAGACATTGCTGCCTCTGAAGGACTTAACTCGAGGGCCTCCTCACCTTGCTCTGCTGGCAAGAGGTCACATCCAAGTAGTTACCATGGTTCCCAGTGTTTCCGGAGACCAACAAGTTTCCAGTCTGATGATCGGCCTCGGAAACATTCAAATAAGTTCCTGAGAGATGTTCCAGCTCGGAATCAGCCTCCAGTAAGAGCGCTTTGGGAGGGGAATAATTCCTGCAGCAACTCAAAATAATACCCCTACTCCCACTCCCACCCCTACTCCCACAGTGCCAGCACCAAATTTCTGTTTGTAGCAGAAGGCAGTTAGCCACTGAATAAAACTTGGTTTAATCTGCTCTCCAAGACATCTCCTTCCTAACTTCTAAGGAGCCTTCCTACTCACTAATGGGACAACTATCCACTTCTTCTAGAAGAATGAAGCCTGTCTCAGTAACCAATATCAAACTGGAAAACTTTAGGGCTTGGGCCTAACTGGATTGAAGTCTGTTCAGTTATTACAAGGCCAATTTTGAAACTGAGAGAAATGGTTAATTAAATTGGAATATTCTCTCTCAAAAAACTGAGTCTTATCACTACTCTATGTTATAATATCCCAATTTATTTGATCATTTTGGGTTTGAAGTGAACTGAACCTTTACAATTCAGTTCCTTGCTAAGAGCTTACTGTAGCGTTAACTCTAATTTAACAAGTACTCTGAAAAGACAAGCTGCTTGCATTTGCACAAAGGGGATATCTTCAATCACACAGAAGTGACTTTGTTGGATAACTGACACATTGTATGGTCTATACCAACAGCAAGCCTTTAGGTGCTCCTTGTGCAAGTGTTAATTCTCTCATAATTGTTACATACCAATGAAGTCAATCGCTTCCTGGAAATGGGAACTCATGTCTGCAGTTGCACTGTCTTCTACAGGAATGAATTTATAGTGATATTTGCTTTTGAAGTACTCCGCACAGTCACGAGAGACATTCAGCAAAGCAGTGATGTGGAGATCATCTAGAAAGTCGGGTCTGGAGGCATGGTAGGCGCTACCCAAGTACAGAAAAGGCAGGATTTCAACAGGTTTCCCCTGAAAAATGAACACAACATAAGACATTAAACAACATGGAGACAATGAGAGAAACAGGTTTGCATCAGAAAATCAAAATGGAATGAAAAGTGGTGGCACACATTAGTGAACATGAAAATTCCAGTAGAAGATTAACCCTTTACATCTTTGGACTGTGGGAGGAAACCCATGCAGATACGAGGAGAACGTGTAAACTCCACACAGACAGTCACCGGAGGATGGAATTGAACCCAGATCCCTGGCGCTGAGAGACAGCAGTGCTAACCACTGAGCCACCCATCTAACTTTCTCTCCCAAGTCAAAAAAGCAATGAAGGGGAGGTAGCTTCTGGAATTTCTTGGACATGGAATGTACTGTCTTAAAAAACCCTCAATGTGTCCTGACTTGTGTCACTTCACCACTCTGCTGCCTTTACTGTCAATATTACTGTAAAGTGAACACAGCTTAAGAACAAACTAAAGCATAGACATTGCCTGAATAGCTGAACTGTCGTTAACATTGTGCAAAGGCAGTGCTCCAAGCACATGTAATCAGGAACCTAAACAGTAAACAATTTGAGAGGCTGCTTTCCAAGCCCTGTTCTGCTGTGCCTACTAATTAACTGAAAGAACACAGTGGTTAAAAAAAAACACTTCAGCACATCTGATGCTGTGCTGTTCAAGTGCAGACAGTCATCATCTCACACAAGTGACAGTCTGGCTGGACAGTTTTTAATCATACTAAACAGCATGATGGGAATGGACATGAAATTATTTATTCTGCATATTTAATATTTTAGTTTGGCCATAATATTTTTAATGTTCTACATTATTGCCATGTTTAAGCAGTTCCTAATAGGGTCAGAGTTCCACAACTGCAGATGTCAGACTTGGTCATTTAAGAACTTTGCAGTAGAGCCCAATGTTTCGTACCCGATCTGTTGCAGAATGCAATTGCAATTCCCCAAGCATCCTTAGTTATGCTACTACAAAGCTCAAGCCAGGGACCAGGTGCTTCCAACACAGGAAGAAAGGAAAAATAAAAATGTGTTTTTTTCTGTGCTGCTACCAACACACTTCCTTGCTGCTGATTAGTCTGCAGGATTGTTGGAGCAGATCCCAAGGATATGCATTGAGGCAGACTGCTAAAGGGTGAAGGGAGTGAAAACAAAATGTGTTTTCTTTAAACACTGAGGGAATGCTGTTTATGATTGAGACAAGAGTTATCTGCCATCAACAGTGCTCCTTAAAATTAACAAACCAATCTCTAGAGAGTTCAGAGTCATATTTTCATCTAACTCATGAGCAACTTGCCATCAGATCTCTGGTCAAAATTAGTATTGCTGAACAGATTCACTAACATTTAGCTATGAAATTCATGGTACCTGAAGCAAGGTGAATGGGGACAGCAACGTCAGGGGGCCATGATAAAGGGAGAATCCAGGTCGAGGCCTTATAGGTGTCTAATAGTTCAGCAACTGGGGGCCATTGATCCCTGGGGTCTGTAAAGTGGGGGCAAGCAAGCCTGGCCTCATCACTGGGCAACTGTGCAGGGCACCATAATTCACGGGAAATGCCATAATGAAGAATGTGTGAATAAACTGGTCTTGGTGCAAGTCAGAAGGTGGGAACAAAGACCCTCCAATCAATGTGTGGGGCGGAGTGGGTCGGTTCCCTCCACTCTTGGAATATGGGGAGGCATGGTGGCTGAGTGGTTAGCACTGCTGCCTCACAGCACCAGGGACCCAGGTTCAATTCCACCCTTGGGCAATGGTGTGGAGTTTGCACATCCTCCCCATGTCTGCGTGGATTTCCTCCCACAGTCCAAAGATGTGCAGGTTAGGTGGATTGGCCATGCTAAATTGCCCATAGTGTTGAGGGATGTGTAGCTTAGGTGGGGTATAGGGGAATGGGTCTGGGTGGGATGCTCCAAGGGTCAGTGTGGACTTGTTGGGCCAAAGGGCCTGTTTCCACACTGTAGGGATTCTATTCTATGTGGGGACACGGAGTAGGTGGAACAACAATTACAGGGGACTGGGGGCAGAGTCAGTGTGGGTCAAGTAAATTCAGCCTGGTTCACGACAGGAGGGTTTATTTCACGATTTACTTCAATAATCTGAAACTTTGAGTAAAATACAAATTCACTGTCATTTTCCCTCAGGCTGATTTGCTACTGAGTATTGCTCGAAGAGCGACAAGGAACAGGCAAACCCAGCTCACCATTATCTATAAACAGATAAATACCTGTTTTCTTAAAAGGATTATTAAAAATACTTTTTTCATGCAGCACTTTCATACGAACAGCATTATATTGTTCTAATAATTGGAGATGGTCCTTGATTACTAATCCATTTGAAAAGGAGGCTTTCAACCACACAATTTGAGCAGTTTGTCCTGGGCATCCTGCTGCACACTAATAGCCGATTGCCTGCTCTGGGTATAGTTTGGGACATTAACAGTTAAAGCAGGTGTCCAGCTCCGGAGAACTTAGAGGGCTGGACTGTGATGTTCAAGTTTCAGGTGACGCTGCCTTTCTGTGGACTGGAACTTGCTCTGGCCCGAGTTTGACAACACATGGGGTTAACAAGTGGAAAACAGCCTGCCTCAGACATTTTCTGATGAAGGGTCTAGGCCTGAAATGTCAGCCTTTCTGCTCCTATGCTGCTGCTTGGCCTGCTGTGTTCATCCAGCCCTGCACCTTGTTGTCTCGGATTCTTCAGCATCTGCAGTTCCTACTATCTCTGCCTCAGACGTTTGTTTGTTTGTTTTGGGCAAAGGATAAGGCACCAGATGTAAATATAAATGTTTATTTGTATTAGTTGATTGTAATATTAAATATTAATTACTTCTGAATAGATGGCAGGAAAATATTGGCTGCCGTTACTTTTATGTTAATACTGAGGGTTGGCTGGACTAGTATTAACTGACATTGTCACATGACTTCCAGTCAGGAGTAAGGTGGTTCAGGATTTGAATACACATTTGGCTGCAGGTTACACTTCACATACACTTGTCCCAGTCTGCAGGATTCATTTGTTACGCCTAGGTAGTGAAATCTCCTGAGCTTGTTCAGGTTCCTCAGCCATGCTCTCAAACAAATCCAGTGAAACACAGCAGACAAAAGTACATGTGTGTAAAATGTGACATTCTGGTGCTTCTGATGGTAGAATTCTGTTGTTCCAGTGTCGAAACCTAGATGACCAGACCCTGGGCTCACAAGCTCAATCTTCTGTTCAATCTAAAGAGATGAATCCAGATTCTCTCATTTTCAATCAAAGAATTTAATGCCTGATATCTCACTGCAGAGAGAGAGATCAGGGAGAGAGCAAAGTAGAGGCCTAGCCCATACGTGTAATTTCAAACGTATCATAGAATTAATTTGAAATTCTCATTCATTGTAGCATTCTGACCTCAGTCAGAAGTTTGAGGTTTTATGTCCCTTTCCAAACAGTTTGATAGAAAATTCTCAGCTGACACTCCATCCACTAACTCAGCAATGCTTCACTGGCAGGGATGTCACAAAGCCACATTCGCCTTCTCGTGTGGACATAACAAGATCCCATGACAGAAGAACTGAGGAGTTCTCCCTGGGGTCTTATCCCTCAAACAACATCTCAAAAAAAAAGCAGTTGATCCGATTGTAATCATGTTGCTGCTTGCACTTTGCAAAGTATCAGTTTGCAATTCCTACTGTACAACTATTATTCACTTACATTTGTACTTCATTGTCAGTGGTCAGAAAGGATTATATAAATTAAAGTCATTCTGAAAATTAAGAACTGCAGCCAGTTTTGATGGTGTCCGTTTTAATAGAAACGGAAAACAGGAGCAGGAATAGATCATTCAGCCCTTCAAGCCTGCTCCACCATTCAGTATGGCCACAACTGACCAGCCAATGCAGTTCCCTGTTCCTGCTTTCTCCCCATACCCTTTGATTCTTTTAGACCGAAGAATATATCTAACTCCTCCTTGAAAACATTCAATGTTTTGGCCTCATTTGCTTTCTGCAGAGGTAATTTCTATAGGTTCTCCACTCTCTGGGTGAAATGAAATGATAGGCATTGGTTAATGCAAACTTATGTCCAGTTGATTTGTTTAAACTGAACGAATAACACACCTACTTCCAGCTCCTGTCAAAAAGTCAAAAGGTAATCGAGAGAACAGGAACAGAACCTTTGATATATGCAAAACAGAAACAAAGAAGGGAAGGTAAATGAAACAGAAAACCCCTGAAAATGACACACGTAAAACCCCTCTGGAAACAGGAGTTTGGTAAAGAAAAATACCTTCCCACATGTTCACGTGACTTTGTTCAAAGCTGTCAGGTTTCAGTAGTACATTTGTGTGCACCCAATTATGGCAGTGTGATGTCATGTAGTAATGACAATTACGAGCAGTGCTTTTCAAAAAGCAACTGTCTGATGTTGTTTCCTCTTCTGTGGCACCTCTAAAAGGAAACGTACTCTAAAGTTAGATTGTCCCTCAGCACAGGGCTCAGTGTTTATTCTTCAGTTGTACACACCTGATCATAGACTGGTCTGTGGTTGCTACAAGGCTGGTCATGTTGGTTCATAGGGCTTGCAGCAGCTTCTTTAACCTCCTGCACACCAGTGTAGTTCAAGCCAGGCGTTAGCTCAGTGCAACATTCTGGATACTGAGAGTGAAAGTCTTCATAACCTCCTAAACACAGTACAAGGGGGGAAAACTGTTTATATCTGCATGTTTCAACCTTGCACAACAACAGAAAGGAACAGTTAGCTGTGGGCTCTCCTTGCTGAGTAAGAAAGCCTGGACTTGTTCACTCAACAGACTGGAACTATGCTTTGGATTCATTTTTATTGTATAAATAACAGTTGTCATCAAGTGGACTAACTGCAATGGGGAATTCTAAATTCAACAAAAATCTTGGTGAAATATTTGGGAGGGGCCTTTGGAAGAGGGTAAAAGTCATGTACATTTTCTTTTCCTTCTGTTGAATACAATACACCAGCCAAGAAAGAACCTGGTGAGCTGTACAAAGAGTCTATGAGAGTATGAGTCAAAAAGTGTGCAGACCAGTAGATAGATAAGCGAGAGTTGGGGTAAAGGAGCATTTTCATGATAGCAACTACTGGAGTTCCACAAGTAATGTTGCTGGAGTCACAATTATTTACAATGTATTAATGGCTTGATGAGGAAAGTCAATGTACTATTGCCATGTTTGCAGACAAAATTAAGTGGGATAGTGAGGATGACAAAGAGCCTGCAGAGGGATATAGACAGGTTAGGCCAGTGAGCAAAGACTTGGCAGATGGAATATAACGCGAGACAATGCGAGGTTACACACTTTGGCAGCACAGAGGACTTGAATATCATTTAATGAGGAAAGCCTGCAGAAAGCTACGGGAGTCCTTGTATGCGAATCCCAGAAAAAAGTTAGCATCCAAGTCCAATGGGTAAACTTCAAGTGAGCAAATAATATAAGCTAAATGCAAAGCCGTCAACATTACAGTCTCTGTGGATTTCAAAGTGAACTGCCTCTGTTAGCTAAAACATTTTGGCTGACACAGAATGTAGCAATTCAGCCAACTGATATGTAGTCCTGAAACTGTTACTAATGGAAGCTTCAGGCACTCAAATGACTCAGAACATTTACCCAGTTACTCAGTCCTTTATTTTATTTTTCTCTTGTAAGTTCTCATTTACCTAATGTTTTATTACCAAATTGTTTTTTTAAATAGCATTACTGCAAGTATATTTCTATAAATAAATACTTTATTACACACTGATTATCAGTAATTATATTTGGGTAAAAGGAAGGTTTTATTGTCTAGTTACAAAGGATTCAATTCCTAGAAGCGTTTGAACTTGCCTGCCCTAACATAATAAATCTGCTTTCAAATAAATTGCAAACTGATTGCTCACTGCTGCTTACCAACAGTATTTGGTGATGATATCAGGTTCTGGTACATGATACATACTTAATTACCCCTTCACACCCAACTGCTGTGACACATCCAACAAGAATATTCTAGCCCTGAATTTACGTAGGTACACAATGTCACATCTTCTACTCAATAGCCTCCTTCACATTGTTATCTGAAAAGACAATGGCATTTATGGTAGTTACTTTAGAAAAGTGCAAATCTACAATGAAACAAACTCACAGAGGATAGTTATTTGAACTCAGATTGAATCAATATCTTGCTGACAGCATGGAAAGAATAATTTGTATCCAAATAGTAATCTTCATGATCTCAGGATGTTGCAAAGCACTTTGCAGCCAATGAAGTTCTTTTGAAATGTAATCTCTGTTGCATTGTTGGAAGTGAGGTAGCCAGTTTCAGCAAGTTCCTATAACTGCGTCATGATAATGACCAGATGATGTGGTTTTTGTTTTGTAATGTTGAATGAGGGATAGTTATTGGCCATTCTGATTAAGAATGAATTCTGTGAGCAGACTGCAAGGGACATGACTCTATCTTACCTACTGAGGGGTAGGCAGATAAATAGTCTATTTATTGAACGGTTGACCATTTGCACACTGCTATTGACAGATTTGTACAGGATTGTTACTGACTATTTGGCCAGTTACAAACCTGATCTCAAAGCAATGTGGAAACAGACAGCAACAATTTGTGGCTGAAATTGATGAAAAGACATTGGGCCTCTCCTAGCAACATTGAAAGGAAATAAATCTTTTCCAACTTTTAAAAAAAAAGTGGATCATTTAAGATGGATATCCTCTCTCATACCTTTCTCTAACAACACAATAGATTATCATTTTTGGGTCAGATTTGGGATTGCTGATTGATTCAGGGTAGGATCCCCTTTCTTTGGGCAGGGTGTTATTTTCCCCATTGATGTTCTGTACAATTACCAAATGGAATCGAATGCGGTTGTACCTTGTACTGAAGAGGCTAGATTATCACATCACCAAGGTATCACTGTTGCTATCTAACCTTAAAGGCAAATTCAACATAGGCAGTTCCTATAACAGGCAGGGCTTGTTTCATTACTGTTTAACTATCCGACTGGAGACCATCAACACAATATCAGTTGGTTCTTAACTAGAGCTAAGCAAAACTAAACCCATAGCTCTGCTATTCCCCTATAGTCCTGCATTTCCCCCCATCAGGAACAAAAAACCTATCATACTGGATTCCCAGCGGCTCAGTCAGACAGGATGGAATGGAAAGGAATGATACTTTAGATCTGACTCACGTGGACTTGAAGGACAGGACTTGAAGAGTGGCAGTCGAAACTGCAATCCTGGGGTTTAGTTTCAATTTGGTGACGAATGTACCGACACTGTCCCGCATTTTCCGAGTGTATTGCCATCATTCTTGACTGTATTTTCTGAAATCTAAGGACTTTCCATTTGGACTCCCGCACAGTCACAGACCATCTCTGAGAGCGTGGTGGAAGAGGCGGCTACACATTGATAGAGGTAGTGGGGACTGCCGTCACTGGAGAATCTGAGATAACAAGGTGTAGAGTTGGATGAACACAGCAGACCAAGCAGCGTCATAGGAGCAGGAAAGCTGATGTTTCGGGTCTGGACCCTTCAGTAAAAAATCTGATTTTTTCAGCTTTCCTGCTCCTCTGATGCTGCGTGGCCTGCTGTGTTCATCCAGCTCTACACCTTGTTATCTCTATACATTGATATAGCTCCAGGGCTCCATCTCGGTCAGTCCGAGTCCCAGTAGACACTACAAGGGACGCTCTAGCTGAGAACTCGTTTAGCCCACAGAGGAATCTTACACCAAACGCGATGCTAGAACGCTCTAAACTCAGCGCTGTGTGGGTTGTAGTCAACACAATCCTAACTCAGTGTAAAATGTATTAACTAGATAAATAACAGTCACAGCACTCTTTGAAGTCATTTCTTTCCTAGCCGTTTTAACAATAATATTTACTAATGTGTATCATACAGTATAAATACAATCGTTAACAAAAATAGTTTAAAATAAACTGGTTAACCCCACAAATAAACAGCTGAAAGGCCAGCACCGTTCACTGCCTGGTGTCTCCTACGGAGACAGAGAGAATCTGTACAAGATTGAGACGGTGGAGAGGAGCCCTCTCCGGCTGAGCCTCACCTTTGAGGAAGTAGATTTTCGTTCTTGGGCTAGCAGTGGTTAAGGTGTTGAACACGATCTGGGCAGTGCTGCCTTTACTCGCTCTCTGCGGGGTTCTCTCATCCAGGACCACCACGGTGGCCACTCGGCCCTCTCGCAGCCGGGCTTGTGCTTTCTCATCCGGGATGATGAAGTGGAGGGGCAGCGGGCTTCCCCGGGCCCTGCGGACCATGAGCGTGTTGAGGCTGACGCTGAGTGAGCCATGAACATGGGAAGCGGAGAAACACAGGAACGGCCTGCAGTCAAGGAGCAGCGTCCGGCCCTGCTGCTTCCGGAGCAAACTCCGCAGCCGCTGGCTGTTAATACCGGCCACAGTCATCCCGCAGCGGCTTCCCCCTCGGACAGAGACCGGTACTCAACTCTCCCGTGTCCCGGTGTGTGTGAGGGAGAGCGGGCAGCCTCCCCTGTGACTGTCCGACTGTCCCTCTGTCCCTCTGTCCCTCTGTCCCTCTGTCCCTCTGTCCC